GCTTTTTCCTCCCTCCAACCATACCCCGCCCCCTTGGTATTTGGTGTCATAATTATCCCTCCTCCCTTTTCATACCCCTAGCCTCATTTACCAGTTCTCTTTTCTCATTTTTTATAGCTTGCTGCGACACAAAATCTATAGCCTTCCCCTATCTTGTTTTTTTCTCTACGCTTTCTCTTGTTGCTAGTCGATTTTCTAATACGTAGTCTAAATCAGTCCGAGCTACCTCACTCCTTCTCAACGAGAGCCTTTGTATGTTTTGGTTCCGTGCACACATCTTGTTAAACTAAAAAAACGATTTTTTTTTTGTTCTCTTTCCCGCGTTGTCTATTTTTTTTTTTTTGTTTGTTATTTTTTCCTATATTATTTATTTTATCCCCCAGAACCTGTTACACTCACATCCTTCTATGATGAGACCGCAGACCGTGACCTTCCGAATTTAAAGTTCCAACCTTATTAAAACTCCGTTATTGTTTATTTGACTTTTTTTTTTTTTTTTTTTTTCTCTCAAAGCTCCAGTTTCCCTCTCATTTCTCTTGTCGCCACTTTTTTTTTTTGTTTTTTAGCATAAACGAACTTTTCTTTTTTTCCGTTACGCTATTATACAGTTCTCCTATTATTTTTTACAACAGTCCCCTGGTGTATTTCAATCGCAACAGTTAAGTCACTGTTCGACCCACACTGGAACACCCGGTAGCGTTCCCGGGGTGTCTAATAGATATATCAAACTCATAACTGAGACACAAAACCAATCAAAAAACTCAATCAAACGATGGTTGTTTGATTGGGTTTGGGAATCGGACATTTTAATTTGTGCCCAGTTTGATTTAAATTCGAACAAGGCGAAACAATCAAACCTAAATTCAAATGCAAACCTCGAAACAAAAATGTCCAGTTCGATTTTGTTCAGATTTGCAGGAATTCTAAAAAAATTATCAGCCTTTTCATTTTGTTATACCGGGAAGAGATAGCAAAAAACCCCAAAAATACATGTGAATATGTCACGGAGAGCAGACACATTGAAACGTTCGGATTTACTGGTTCGATTGAGTTCACTCAGCAATCAAAAATTTGATTGTGTTCGACCTGACAAGTTTGATCTTGTGAGCGTATGTTTGATTGCCGAACCAAAGTTCAAATGATTAGTGTTCAATTAGAGTTTGATTACCAAACATGCCATTAGACACTCCAGGAGAGTTAAAGAGCGCCATTCCACATAATGCGAGACCATCCTAACAACAATGAACAGGGATAATGAAATTGAAATTTATTTTTTTTCCACCCCACACTGAGAGCATGGCAGTGTATGATCAAACAACACAACCAGGCACAGTAATGATCAGTACCACATTTTCCTGTTACAAACATATGCAGATCACGAACACTCCTCCAAATCACCCAAGGGCAAAAGTAAGGCTTGAAATGCACCAATCACCACAATGTATACAGACCAGCAGTAAGCAATCAAAAACGTCCGCAAATCCACATCCAAGTGACTACATGGCCTATAATCAGGGATCATTATTACATACCACAATGAACTTCCACATCTTCCATAAACATGTAATATCTTGCTGGGACGAGTCATGGTAAATTTGTGGTTTTTTTCTTTCAGAGATATAATGAGGATATACAATGAGCCTCCACGATAGTATGTGTATTGTGTCCTGACAAAGATACGATATGACAAAGGTTTGTATTCAGTTGAAAAATGCCATATTGTGAATGTTAGGGTTCTTAATGGGCACCATGAAAACTCTGTGAAAGTCGAAGCACGACATTGTTCAAAATCCTGGTTTAAAAATCCATGAAAATAAGCACACAATTAAGTGTGGATTATGGTAGTGAACAAAATAACATAAAATCATCAATTCAACGCGATATATATGTATTATCCATGGAAAGTAGACCTGGCCTGTCATATGTTTATGACATACCACACGGAACCTCCACCTCCCATAAGCAGACACCTCTTGTAAGCGGACACTTAGTCATGTTTCCCCACGCGACATACAAAATCACCTATTCTGGTCCTGAGGGCACGTCCGCTTATGCGAGGTATCGACTGGTAGTATTTGAAATGAGAAACAAGTCAACGCCGCAATTAAGCTACACGAAGTGGAACAAAGTTGACATTGCATGTGTGTCTGACCCAGCTACTCAAAACATATTCACGCAAATGTTGGACTGTATTGTTCCTATGTTCTACCCTGTGATTTGGTTTACATTCAGTCTGAGTGGCCCTGGTTACATGTAGTTGGATTGTAAGTTTTTAATGGAAGGACTTTTTTTCTATTCTTTATTTTAACATATTCACGCTCTAATCACCCCTGGTCCGTTTGAACACACTGTCATGAGGGAGGATTCTTTTACTTCATGTGATCCGCAGTCCCCCTGCATTATTCCAATCAGACCTCCCAGAAGCAAGTTAATGACGGACAGGAGGGGCGGACAGGTCAGGTTTAACCCCAAATTGTATAGAAATTGGCAAAGTTTGCCTGAGGATAACTGGTGTAAGTGGCTTTGAATTTGTTCTTCTTTTGTCAGCTGTTGAGTGAACAATAATAAGAACACGAAGTCAAAAATGTTAAAACTTGAACATTTGGATAAGTCGACATACTACTCCCGAAAAGAGGTGCGGTTTTAGGATTCCATGCCTTTGACTCGGTCTTACATACAAATGCTATAGGAAAACTAAAAACACGACTGTTTCATCATCACCCATCCTGTAAGAGCCCAAGGGTTATATAGGGTATATCAGTCATTTAGTCAGTGAAATATTTTCTCAGGTACATTGTATGTCCCTAAGTTTCTAGACTGCAAGCAGTCTCTATATGGTTTCGGTCAAGTTCGTGAGGCAAACCTGAGGAATAGCAACGATATGCATCACTGTGTGCGGGCAGCGAAGCCACCTGCTAACAAGTAGCGCTTTCGCTTCCTCTCGTGCCCGTCGATACTCGCGCCTCTGCGGCACACGTCACACTGCTCACATAGGTGCCTATCATCGAGCGCTAGCCTTGCAAACTGTAGAACGAAAAAATAGAGACACTAGCCCCCCGGTCTAAGGTACATGTAGGTTGAAATATGACGAATACTATTAATATGTTTAAACTAATATTAATACAATTTTTTGACTATTTTATTGTAGGACACCTGGTCTGGTCACCAGCCTGGAGTCCTGCCCAGTCCCTTTCCAGTGTGTTAATCTCTATTCAATCTCTGTTAAATGAAAAACCTTATCACCAATGAACCAGGATTTGAACAGGTGTGTAGAAATCTGGTTCCTATGCTCCATGTATTATTTGTAATGTTGACAGTACAAGCTCTATTCAAAGCCCCCAGTCAGTCCCTTACTGTAGTTCCAAGATAGTCACAGCTAAGAAAAACATGGTTGTCCTGAGCGGGATTATGTGTGTGTGCGCTGTTTACTTGTTTTTTTCTAGGTTCTCGGGGAGAATCAAACCCACGTCTCCATGGTTACTAGTCTGGCGTGATGACCAACTAAACTATCGAGGCAAACCACACTGGCCACGTGGCCACTTAATGTAAGCGAGTATCATGGCGTGATGGACCAACTACACTATACGAGGCAACCACACTCGGCAACGTCGGCCACTTAATGTAGCGGGTGTCTGGCGTTGATGACCAACTACACTCATCGAGGCAACCACACTGGCAATGTGGCCACTTATTGTAGCGAGTGTCTGGCGTGATGGAGCAAATTGCACTAATCGAGGCAACCAACACTGCCAACGTGGCCACTTATTGTAGCGAGTGTATGGCGTGATGACCAACTACACTATCGAGGCAACCACACTGGCAATGTGTGCCACTTATTGTATGAGAGATGTCTGGCGTGATGACCAACTGCACTATCGAGGCAAACCACACACTGGCAATGTGTGTACACTTATTGTAGCGAGTGTCTGGCTGTGCATGACCAACTGGCGACTAGCGATGGCAATCACACTGGCAACGTTTGGGCACTTATTGTAGCGAGTGTCTGGCTTGATGACCAACTACCATTATAGAGGCAACCACACTGTGCAATGTGGCCACTTATTGTAGCGAGTGTCGGGCGTGATGACCAACTGCACTATCGAGGCAACCACACTGGCCAATGTGGCCACTTATTGTAGCGAGTGTCTGGCGTGTATGACCAACTAGCACTATCGAGGAAACCACACTGGCAACGTGGCCACTTAATGTAGCGAGCCATTCACACACTATCATTTGTCACTTATTAAGAACTTGTATTCAATTTCAGGGAAGGCAAGCAGGAGACTCAAAGAGATATAATGGAATGTATCCAACATGAACGCCTTAGAGTTGCAGTTTGCGACATGTTGGAGGAAAAACTTAAATGCCCCTCCAGCGCTCAAGTGGGTATTTTTCCTCATGTTACTTGCCAGTAATTTAGTTTTGACCGAATTCTAGTAATCATGTCATCCCCTATTATATAAAAACTACAGTATGACATTACCAGGATTTCTCTCACTGAGAAACATCATATCTAAACACATGTGAGGATACCATTTTTATCTTCACTGTAGAGTGAAGATATCGATGACGTGCACCCTTGCTGACACGAGTTTTGCATGTTTCAATGCTGTGAATGAGCCATTGAAGGTTTTATCAATATTCCCCAGTCGAAAACATCTTTTGGATCTTCCTCTTGCAATCTTCGTGAAATCTTCAGAATATCATTCAATCTGTCATTCCATATCTCAGTGTTCGTTTGCTGCACTCATTATGTGAGATGTACGAATTGAAAACTCGAAGATAAATTTCATATCTCCGCACATGTACTCATGTAGAGCTTGATGATGAGTGACCTGCTCAAGGGGAAAGGGGCTGCGGGATGTGTGATCCATGGATATCAAATATCGACAATTCGTGACAATTATCTTATGTTATACACAAAATCTCTCATGAACTACAATTGGAAATAATGTACAGTGTATGACATGTAAAATCAGTGTTGTAAAGTCTGATCAATGAGTGAAATGTTTCGTTGGACCAAAGACCCAGTCCCCAATCACAGAGGCGGGAGCGTATATTCATGTGACAATCACAATCACAAACAAATAATAATAAAACTAATCATAATAATGATAAATAAATGTTGTTATATGCCGCATTAAAGAAAACTCAATGCTCTTTACAGTACCAAGTATATCTAAACATAAATAAATAGATAAAATATGCGTCTCCTCTGACGTGTGATGCGCAACTGGTCCATTGTACATGTACAAAACAGGCAATTTCTGATGACTGCCTCCATATTACAAACTGCCGACTGAAATTTCGCATCTGATATGTAATTCAGTACGCGACTTTTCAACATTTGAAAGCAGCGCGTGTGCAACATAAACAGCAAACATGCCCATGCGTGCCTCATATTGTCGCACAAACGCAAAATCACATAAACGTTAAATATTCATTGGAAACATGAACAATATTGCATAGTTTTTTAGAAGTTCATTCCCAAAATTGGGGTCTCACTGGTAGAAGACTGTCTCATGGATCCCAACCAGGGAGCTCAACTATAAGAATAACTCCAGAGGGCTACTGGAATTTCGAGACTTAAGGGAGTTCGCGCCCACTGCCTAGGGTGCATCCTTACTGCGCACTGCTAATTTCATGCCGTGCGCCAATAGCGTCACGTCATGCATCCGACAGCGCGCACGCGAGATGAAAATGAAACTGGACAAACATAGTGCTGGAGGCCGCTTGAATAACTTGCGCCGAGGATCTTTACTCTCTTGTGAAGGCCTAGAGGTGACCCCTAGTTTTCTTTATCATAGATCACATTCTTTTATTGATTCTCTATCCATTTTAATCAAAAAACAAAAACATTCTGAACGTGCAGAAGTTTTGATGTGTATTTCGCCTTTTTCTACTCATTTGCGATCACAATTTTTCTATCCGAATGCGGGTGTGCATGACTTAAAAGTATACTACAGTAAAAGGCTAATTCTGAACTGAAGGAACTGACATCAGCTGCAAAAATTTACTCAATAGGCCTATTTGCGTTGAAATATATACACATCTATATTTATTTCCTAGAGTTCTCTCATTTTACATTTTTTATTTGCTGCATAGCAATGAAGCCTAATATTATATATATTACATGACAATATAAGTTCTTAGAAACACTACGGTCTTCAACATCGGCACTTATTCTCCGAAACGAGCACAGTGACCCCTTAATTTTTTTGCCTTTTTGACATGAGTTGGTCAATCATCTAACTGCAGGAAAATTTTCTAAAAAAAATCTGAATTGTAGGAAAGAATTCGGCGCGGACGTCCTTTAAGTGCAACAAATTTACACAGCAAATAATAAACAATTAGATTGTCAATTGATTGTTTTCTTTTATAATTTCAATTCCCTGTTTTACAGAGATTTCAATGGTAAGGAAATCATTCCCAGAGTTTTATGATTACTACGTATCTGTTTATTCAGTGTTACTATATACCTCACATGTAAATGGACAAAAAAATGCTCGGTGAGAACTGAAAACAGTTTATACAATAAAACATACACATATCAGTACAGTTGAACCATCTCTACAATGGCCACCCGGGGGCAGAATTAAATGGCCGTAAGAGGGGTGGCTAGTGAGGCTTAATTAGAGGGAGTACATGGTTGGGACAAAGAATCCTGGCTGTTGATAGAGAGGTGGCCATTATTGGAAGTTGTGACTGATTGAAGTTTGTTTAATAGGATTCGTACATGTGAGGGGGGGGGATAGCTTTGTGAAGGCTGTTGGTTGTTTTGCACAGTCTTTCACAAGCCCACTCTAATACAGCTACTCCCTGGGTTCAATTTTTAAATAGCAAAAAAACAAACTTTAACTATACAGTGGAACTCTCTCTAAGGCGGCCAACCTTGGAACCAGCCCCCCCCCCCCCCCCCCCCCCTCCCCCCCCCCCCCCCCCCCCCCCAAGCTGTCCCCTTCTTAAAGAGAGTTTAGATACAGAGACAAAACCAAGTGAAATTCAGCCAGGACCAGCCAGTCATCCATGTCGGCCTCAGAGAGGGTTTCCACCTTTACAGTGGTGTCCTCGTAGAGAGAGTTGACTGTATATTTCCTGTAAACTTCCGAATAAAAGTCCTGAGCTGATACTGAGTCAAAGGCGTTTAGGAAAATAAAATACATTCCAGTCCTTTAAGCTCAGAGGAACCAGTTGGCTCATCAGTGTTGACGCTTAACTCCAAGTTTCTAGCAGCATGAAGCGACTGCCAATGTATATGCTTCTCCCCTGAAAAGTGTAAGTCTATATCACAGGTTACCCCTCCCACTTTGCCCTAAACAATTCACTGACCATCCTCAGATATACACACACACCAAGTGTTGGAAAAGAGTCCTGTGGAGCATCCAGTGTCTTGCCCAAGAAAACAACCTCCCAGATCTGGTCTCAAATGCAGCTTGCCATAAGGCTATAAGCTATCATGCTTCCCATCTAAAATTAGAGAGCAACCAACTTGTGGTGAGGGTAAAGAATTTTCTGTGCCGGATGTAGGTTGGGCAAAATAATATTCTGTAAGTGAACTTGACCCTGTAACCATCACAATGCTAATAACTTATTGTTAGGGGGTAATTTACGTTGATCTCTCTTGTCGTCGGACCCTTTTGGAGCGACAGGAGGGGAACATACTTGACTTTGTGAGACCGTTAAAAAAGTCAAATGTTCCCCTCTTCTCTCCAAAAGGGTCCTACGACAAGAGAGATCAACGTAAAATTACCCCTAACAATAATTATTAGAATTGAAGGTGAACAGGGTCAAGTTCACTAAGAATTATTATTTGGCCAACCTCACCGGCACCCTAAAATAAGCCCTTTACCCTCACCACAAATTTTGGTTGGACTAATTTTAGATGGGAAGCATGATAGCTTATAGCCTTATGGCAAGTGCATTTGATACCAGATTGATGTGTTCTTGGGCAAGACACTTTACTCCAAGACTCTTTCCACCACCCTTAAGTATAAATGAGGATGGTCAGTGAATTGTTAGGGCAAACTGGAGGGTAACCTGTGATAGACTAGCACCCCTTTCAGGGGAGAAGCAATTATTGCAGTCGCTTCATGCTGCAGAAATTGGAGTTAAGCGTCAACACTGATGAGCCAACTGGTTCCTCTGATCCTTAGGACTGGAATGTATTTTATTTTCCTAAACGACTTTTGACCCAGTATCAGCTCAGGACTTTTATTCGGAAGTTTACAGTAAATATACAGTCAACTCTCTCTACGAGGACACCACTGTAAGGTGGACACCTCTCTGAGGCCGACATGGATGACTGGCTGGTCCTGGCTGAATTTCACTTGTTTGTCTGTAGCTAAACTCTCTTTAAGGCGGACAGCTAGGGCTGGTTCCAAGGGTGTCCGCCTTAGAGAGAGGTTCACTGTATAGTTAAAGTTGTTTTTTTGCTAATTTAAATTGAACCCAGGAGTAGCTGTAGTAGAGTGGCTTGTGAAAGACTGTTCAAAACAAACAACAGCCTTCACA